AACACTACATTAGCTAATGTTGACCTAATATACTTATGCATGAAACAGTTGAAACACGACCATTCTTTGAAACATCAAATTACTAACGGTACAGTAAAACATAGAAAAATTCAGCAGTAGGATAAGTAACACAGGAATGAACAAGAATCAGCACCAGAAAATTAATATTTGAGGTGTTTTTTTAAATCAAGGGCAATGTTCTGTTTGTTTCCACAGAAGGAGCAGGACTGGAACTAGTCTGTGGGCAAATGGGCCTATTTTTAGCTGAAACCTACAGGTTGTCAGAGGTCTGCATTTCTTCAGTCTATGGACTCATCAGTGGAAAGTTTTACTCTCGTCCAGTGGTTTGAAACATTCAGCAGCCTCACTGGATGGATGTTCACATAATAATCTGGACATTGTTCGGTTGATAAACAACACCTAACTAAACAAAGGCTATCATGCAAAAGTGTAGTCATTTAATATTAGCTTTTGAAGTACTTTTTCACGTCTGTAAGTTAAGGGAGGGGTTGGTGCTCTTATTTGACTAGCCATTAGCCTAGCTGGGAAAAAGACTTTCGCCCTTTTCTCCATGGTCTGCATTCAGTGACTGAAACGGTACTATTGCTGATTGTTTGACAAAACATCCCTTCAAAAATGTCTAGACTATCTCTTTAACTTGTTTTTTTTAACAATATGTGTTTAGAACTTGTATGTCTCAGTGTCTTAAGAAGAAAGCACAGTCACAAGCATACCTTGCACAAATAAACAATAACACTGCTAAAAGGTAAAATGAAAAATAAACAATTAAATAGATTAAGAGATACAATTCAAACGCAAGAAAGACTGTGAAATCTACGTCAATGCTTCGCTTACAAATTATACCAGTACGGGACGCCAAGAGCAAAATAAAATATTAAAAAATGCCACTAACACATTTTCATTATTTAGCTCATTTTATGAGTTTAAATCCTACTTTATAATATTCCATGAACATTTTATTGTTATTTAGTTCACTGTTCTTACATTTTGCTAATATTTACTGAATGTTAAATTTAAATTTGAAATGTTATGTCTTAATGTTAAGCCTTAAATCCAAGTACAAAAGTTAAATGTAAATGTTGTGGCTAAATGTTAAAGTCTACATTTAAGTATTTCAGCATGGAACACAGCCTTTGCTGTTGGTGCTGGGCTCGTTAAGGGCTCGACACACGGGGAGCGACAAACTACAGCGATTAGCGGCTGTCATCGCAGCCAGGGTGAAACCTGACACACGGGACGCGATAGCGATCGCAGCGTTGCGAATCGCGCTCTCAGATCGCTTGTCTTCACGAAATTTGAGTGGTTCTTGACTCTGAAGGTGGGTGTGCATTACGGACGTGTAAACTAAACAAATCTTGCGATGCTAATGATATTGAAAAGCAAACACGCATCAAGATACAGTTTTATGAGGAAAAACTTACCATAAACTTCACCCTGG